TTTTCCCCAGTGGGAGCATCTTGTAAACTGTAGTATAATAGCATACTCACGATGCAGAACATCTATCACCTCATCCCTCCGGGTCCCTTCTAGAGTCATATCCACTTCCCTCCCACCTTCGCTCTGGCAACCACTAATCTAGTCTCTGTTTCTATAATCTGTCATTTCACAAAATATTGTATATATGGAATCAGATAGTAGGTAATTTTTTAAAAAGAATTATTTATTTAATTTTATTTAACATCTTTATTATTTTTAAATCTGCTACAGGGCACATGAACTCACCAGAGAAAGAGAGCAAGAAAGCAAGTCACCAGGTTTGGGACTCAAACCTTGGTCAGCCATGTGGGAGTCTAGCGTGCTAGCCACCAGGCCACCTGCTGGCCCCAGTAGGTTACCGTTCAGGACTGGCTTTTTTTTCACTGAGTGTAATGCCTTTGTGGATGTTGATCCATCCACATTGTTCCATGTATCAGTGGTTCATACCTTTAAACTGTAGTATTCTGTGGTGTGAACATAAGAGATCTTGTTTAACTGTTTACTTGTTGAATTGCTCCTGGTATAAGGTTAGTACAAACAGAGCTGCTTTAAACTTTTATGAATAGGCTTTTGTGAAAATTAAGCCATTATTTTTCTTGAATAATGCCTAGGAATACAACTGCAGGGTTGTACGGTAATTATGTGATTCATTTTTTGTTTTTTGTTTTGTCTTTCTATGTTGCCTGGGCTTGGCCCAAACTCAATGTTTTTGCCTCAGCCACCTGAGTAGCTAGGACTACAGATGTGAGCCAGTGTACAAGCTAGTTTCTTTGTCTGTTTTTCCTCCAAATGACCTATTTATTTTAGGCGGCAAAATTGATTCTGACAATAAATAGGAAATATAATATTTTAATAAGATACTCTATTTACTTGCTTATTAAATGATCAAGTTTAAATATGTTACATATGCCTTCTCAAACCTAGCTGGCAAAAGAGTTGAATAATAAATATTCATAACCAACTAATTTTCATTAAATATACTTAATAACCTCTATGTATCATATCCAAAGGAAATTATCCAGACCAGCCCCATGGTAGCCATCTTTCTTTTAGTATCACTGTCATAGGAACTTATTTTATGATCTCACAAAAGAGAAAGGCTCAGAAACAACATATTTAGAATGAAAAAAGTTCTGAAGTATTAATGAAAGAAAATGAAATCCTTCCTATTCCATCTTTATTAAAAACGACTCATAAATCTTTAATATTTGCACCAATGTCTTTCATGGCTCTACCACTTTTCTTTTTAATTTTTTGCCATAGTGTGTGTGCTCTCACTGGAGAGAGACAGAGAGGGGGAAAGTGAGAAGTCAACCCTCTCAGGAGGCATGTCCACACTGCAATCCCTTTTCCTCTATTTTCCTATCAGGATTTTGGGTACACATGCACTTGTGCCCGGAATAAATGTCAAACCACTGGGTTCAGGACTTGAACCATTGTCAGCAATGTGATAGCCCAGCACTTTAAGCACATACCACTTTCTGGCTCCTCCACTTTCAATCCCAGCCTCTTTACAGTGCAAAGTTATAGGGGACAGTCTGGAAATGTGTGATGTTCACCATTATCTTTTGGTGTGTAGTTTAATGCAATTTCATTACCAGTACTAAAACATCTCAAAGTGCATTTCTTGTTGACAATGGTTCAACAAGAGCATGACAAATACAAAAAGTTTATTATATTATTTGTAAGTTTTGTCACTCCACACAAAGAATTGAATACAAAATCAATTAAGTCATTGAATAAGCACAGGTAGGTTATTTTTTTCATTTAAGAAAATTAAAGCCAATTGTAGATAAATCTTTCATTTG